CCTGTAGTGTTTTAACAGAACCTGAAAATTCAGCATGCTTGGAATGTCTTTTTTAGTTTTAGTTTTCATCTGTATTGTTCTGAGATGCTTGCTGAGCATTTGTCAATCTCCACATATTTGTATTATTAAGTATTTATATTAATAAACTGATAAATACATTAACAAATATAAGTTAATAAAGTTAATACAACCCCTTTAAGACTTGTTAGTTCTTCCTCTGGATAACTTCTCTGAAACTATCTAGCAAATGTTGGTTATTTTTGTTTCTTTTCCTCTCCCCAGAATTATATACTTAATTTTATTCTCAGTTTGACCAGAGAGAGAAAGTGAGAAAGCAGATCACCAGGTCTGGGACTAGAACTGCTGTCAGCCATGTGGGATGGGAGTCCAGTACCTCAACCACCATCTACCTGCTGGCCCCTAATTCTGTCTTAAGGAGTTTGCACTTTTTTTTTTTTTAAAAACTAAGTGATTGGAGGAATTTGTAATGTAGCTACAATGTAGAGGCATTAACTTAAATATAGATATATTTCTGGTATGCTATTTAGTAATGCGTCATAAATATAGTTTAATTCATTAAACTAGACATTATAAAAATTATTCAGTTATTATCCCCTTCCTTCCCCTAGCCATTAGTGTATACCTCATAATACTTATTTTCTTTTATTATTTGAGTTGAGAAGCATATAACTAAAAGCAGTTACGAGTTTAGTACTGGAAAATGGCTGATTTAGAGACATTCCATTCTGTAGTTACAGCTGGATGCACAGATGGATTCATGGACCCTGGTCCACAATTTGAGAACTGTTGCTATTGCATTTGGACCAAAGAATCTGTCTCTTCAAAGTATCCGTTGTCTCTAGTAGTCCATAAAGAAGGTCTACATTATGCAAAAATGTATTTCTCATTTATTATACTAATTAATTGTGAAATATGGTTTCTTGGACAGAATTTGGTCTATGAATATATGTTGACTCCAGTATTAATTAGAGTTGGGGTTGTTTTGAAAACTATTTTTATGTACCTTTTGGGTGCTGGGAAAAAAGTGCACTCTGTTCATTTGTTCTCAATAGGGCAAAATCCCATAGTTGAGCTGACGTTATCCTTGCTCTTTCTGTTTACTGATTATATCACAGGCACACATAGCTCTTTCAGACAATCCTCTCCAATGCATTTTAGCTTTCCCTTACTAAAAAAAATTCTTTTTTGAAAAACAATATTTCTACAAAGTTTCAGTTCCCTAAAGAGTGAATACTGTACATCATTCTCTAATACAATGCATTTTTTCTTAAAATTTTGCTGTTGTTTATTTACCTGGGATATTTGCGAGGGGTAGGCTAATTAGGCAAAGATTTGTCCATTATTTTACCAGGCGTATATGATAGCAGTTACTATTTTTAAGCAGCTGGAGAGTGTGTGTGTGCTCCAGGAAGAGGCAGAGAAAGGGAGAAAGCACCCTTAGTGGGATGTGATAGTGCCACTATTCCTTTTCCTCTATTTCCTTATCCCGTTAGGATTTTGGCACACACCCACTTGTGTCTGACTTGTTTTTCAGGCTGCTGGGACTGGGATTCAAGCCACGATTGGCCATGTGGTGGGATCTGGCTCCTCGAACCACCAGGCCATTGGACTGGTCCAACAATGATTATTTTTAATGTCAGTATTTTGTTTTTTTGTCAGCTTTGGACATTAAATATATATCATGGCAGTACAAGTTCCATGAAAGTTAACTATGGTAATGTAAGGTCACATGCTGTTTAGTTGAGCCTACAAACGTGTCAGAGTTAGAGTTACCAAATTAAGTATAGCTTTTTGAATGTGAGTTTTCTTTAAAGAATTATTGTTTAATTTTATTTTTTATTATTTTAAAATTTGACCAGAGAGAAAGTGAGAAAGCAAGTCACCAGGTCCAGGACTCGAACCACGATTAGCCGTGTGAGAATCTCTTGCCTTAACCACCACACCACCTGCCAGTCCCTGAATATGAATATTTTAAATGAGATACTGAAATTATTTTAAAGTACCTTTTCTTTTTTTGGAGAGATTTTCACTATAGGGCGCGTGTGCTCTCCAGACAGAGACATAGAGACAGAAAGCGAGAAATCACCCCCCAGGGGGGATGGTCATGCCGCAGTCCCTTCTCCTCCATTCTCCTCTTGGGATCTTGGGCACGCACGCATACGCGCCCGGCGTGAGTTTTAAGCCACTGGGTCCGGGACGCGAACCGCAGTCGACTACGTGGGAGTCCAGCGACATAGCCATTATGCCAACTGCTGGTTCCCTTAAAGTACCTTTTGATATGTGTTCATTATGGCATTTGTCCTTGTTATGATAAATTTTTTTACTTATCTTAATTTTAATAGTATGTGTAAGTTATTTAACTTTTAACAAATTTAAAATAATATAAATTCATGATATAGCACATATATGTGCACATGAGAGAGAGAAATAGGTGGGTAGGTTGGTAGATAAATAATAGATATGAGCACCCTCTATGTGTTGTGGTCACATTATGATATCCTTTCTCCAGTCTTGTAGCTCATTAGATCCTGGGCACTTGAGTGCATGGAACTGATGATGTGTTTCAGGCTCCCTAGGTCAGGTATGTAGTCAAACTGAGGTCGCCACTTGGTATTGGTTCCTCTTGAGCACGTAGCACTTCTGCTTCCTAGAACTAGCCAGTAATTTATTTATACTCACTGGGCATGTGTGTGAGTGTGCCCAAAATTTCTGGAGGAGAATGGAAGAAAAGGGATTACAGTGTGGCCATACCCCATGGGGGGGGTGCTTTGTCACTTTCTCTCTCTCTGTCTCTCTGGTGGGTGCATGGGTCCTATGGCAAAAGCTTTAAAACAAAACAAAATGCAGTGCTGAAGGGATTCAAAACTAAATTTAAGCAATTTTTATTTTCTTTTTCTACTTGGATTTTATACCACCTTTTCCTTTTCAGTAATAAAAGTAATATGGATAGGAGTTGACTTAGCACTCCCAGTTTATTACTAATGATAATATTAGGGTGTGTAAACACACATGCACACACAATGTTTAAGGTTATAATAGAAGAAATGTTTCTCATGTTTAATCTGGTTGACCAGTTCAGTCAATTATCTAATTTTATTACTCTGTTAAGCTAAAATGCTAAATACGGCAGTCTATTTTAACAATGAATTCATAGGATTAATATAGAGAATCGATTAGAAAAAGTAAATGCTTTTTGATAAAGTACAGGCTTCAAGTGAAATACAGTTTTGGTCTCCTTTACAGGAATAGCTATTCACAGTCAGACAGAACCACTTATCACGTTTTGCAGTATCTCCTGAGGAAGTCAGAATCTGAGCCAGCATGAAGACTGAATCTTGTCTTTGGTCCGATTTATAAACCGTGCTTTTTATTCTAACCATGTGCAAGGTGGAGGTTATAGCATGGAAACTAAAATCTTAGTAAGTGTGATTTTTACTTTAGCTATTAAATAGTAGCCTTACTTACAGTGAATTGGTCCTCTTAGCAGAATTCACTCAATAAATGGGGGGGGGGGGGAGAATTGACAAGGCCAGGAGCATAATACACTTTCAAAGTGAAAAGTTAAGCTTTCTGGGTTCAGGAAACATCCCTGAGAAAGAGAAAGGAAAAAACAACTGTTGCTCTGCTTAGGATTTCTTTCTCTTTCTTGGTAAAAAGAAAAAAAAGTAGTGGGGTGATACTGGATTAAGAAGGGATTTAAGAAATGTAGTTTGGCTTTAGTGGCTAAAGTTTAAAATTAAGTCCATTTTTTGTGAATAGTGTTTAAATTCAAGCCATTAAAAGAAATCATTATTAAATTTGCTGTGTAGGATGCTTCAGTGATGAATTAGTTGTCACTAAATGATCAAGTCTTCAGTATAGTATAGTGCTTAGTAAACCCACTGTAGAATCCTAGGAACCTTTTTAGTAGTGAATGTATTTTTAGTTATGAACTGAGTTTTGGATAAATTTTAAATATTCAAAATATTGACAGTTTTGAATGATTATCAGTAAGCTCAGAGATGTTCCATTGATTTGAAGTTCCTAAGTATAGGTTATGTGCAGTATTTTACTTGCATTCTAGATAGAACTAGATTTGGAGGATACAGATTATCAAAGAATTATCTCTATTTCATATTGTTACCTATAACAATTATGCCTTATCTGTTCTGTACTAATTAAGAGCAGTGGATAACTAGCAGTTTTAGAATGTTTTTCTCTCTTAATGATAGGATGGACTTTGATCTCCTGAATCTGTAAGTCAATACCTAGATAATGTAATCTGCGTTATTCATAATTTGAGAATGATTATGTGTTTATAGATTTATTTGGTTTGTATTCTTTCTCTTTGAGTCTCTCTTAACTGTTGATTGCTTTTTTTTTCCCTCTTGAGGGATTATTTTGCTTTAGGGCACGTGCGCTTCCTGGAGAGACAGAGACAGAGAGAAAACAAGAAATCACCCCCTAGGGAGGATGGCCATGCCACATTCCCTTCTCCACTCTCCTCTCAGGATCTTGGGCATGCACGAACATGCTCCTGGTGTGAGTTTCAAGCTGCTGGATCCGGGACTCAAACCATTCATGGGTCGGCCATGTGAGAGTCCAGCGACAAAACCACTATGCCATCTGCTGGTCCCAGCTGTTGGTTACTTTTATACATTGATGGTGATGAACTGGCTGAAATTAAACATTTCTATTAGTGGCTTCCCTAGTTTAATCTCTATCCTTCTTAGACTGTACCTTCCTTTATTTCCTATCACTTTTGCTTGCCAGAGTATAATTTCATTAAATCCTGAGGGCTGCAGTTTTTCTTTGGGAGTTTATCTGTAGTGTCTATGGAAATCAAAAAAGGATTAGGATAATCAATATGAAATCTTACATACATCTTTGGAGAAATTTATATTTTATAAATTGAAGAATATGCTTATTTTGGGGAACATAGTTTCAGAGGTAGAATTATATAGTTACTGTTTTAATAACTATGTCCTAATTATTTATAGCTTCCTGCCTGACATAACTCACTTCAAGAAGTGCACAATGTCAGAACGTGGCATTAAGTGGGCTTGTGAATATTGTACTTACGAAAACTGGCCATCTGCAATCAAGTGTACTATGTGTCGTGCTCAGAGACCTAGTGGAACAATTATTACCGAAGATCCATTTAAAAGTGGTTCAAGTGATGTTGGTAGAGATTGGGATCCTTCTAGCACCGAAGGAGGAAGTAGTCCTTTGATATGTCCAGACTCTAGTGCAAGACCAAGGGTTAAGTCTTCATATAGCATGGAAAATGCAAACAAGTGGTCATGCCACATGTGCACATATTTGAACTGGCCAAGAGCAATCAGATGTACCCAGTGCTTATCCCAGCGTAGGACCAGGAGTCCCACAGAGTCTCCTCAGTCCTCAGGATCTGGCTCAAGACCAGTTGCTTTTTCTGTTGATCCTTGTGAGGAGTACAATGATAGAAATAAACTGAACACAAGGACCCAGCATTGGACTTGTTCTATTTGCACATATGAAAACTGGGCCAAGGCTAAAAAATGTGTTGTTTGTGATCATCCCAGACCTAATAACATTGAAGCAATAGAGTTGGCAGAGACTGAAGAGGCTTCTTCAATAATAAATGAGCAAGACAGAGCTCGATGGAGGGGAAGCTGCAGTAGTGGTAATAGCCAAAGAAGGTCACCTCCTACTACAAAACGGGACTCTGAAGTGAAAATGGATTTTCAGAGGATTGAATTGGCTGGTGCTGTTGGCAGCAAGGAGGAACTTGAAGTGGACTTCAAAAAACTAAAGCAAATTAAAAACAGAATGAAAAAGACTGATTGGCTATTTCTCAATGCCTGTGTGGGTAAGTTTCTGTTTTCTGTGTGTTTTGAATGGGATGGGAAAAGGTATTTGAAATGACAAGAAAGATATAGCAAGGTCAGTATTATTTAGCATTTATTTTATTTAGCTTGATAGTTATATTCTCAAGAATGCATGCATGCATAAGAATTTTCTGTATTTGTGATCTTGTCATAACTTTATATTAAATCACCAACATTTAATTGGTGTATCTCTCCATCATTAGGGGAAGAAAGGTTCAAGTTAAAGCAGTTTTTACACATTAGTAGTAAAATATACCTGTCGTTTAAAACTGCTACTCTATTTATTGTAATAAGATGTGACTGAGGAACACCAGCTGCTGTTTCTGAGTGTTTGTAAACAGTGTGAGGATCTTGTGATGACAGAAGCTTTAGTCAGATGTTAAAAATATCACGAAAATGTGTGACTCCAAGAAGTTGAACAAACATAATATTGACCTTGAAAATACTGATGTTAATTTAATGTGTATGTCATTTAGTAAATATTTGCGAACTTTACGACACTGATTTCATGTAGCTAGCTGATTCTGTAGTTCAGATTATAATTTATGTTTGTGATTTTAGTGTTTTTCTAAGGAAATTCTGAATATTGGTCTCAGTTACTAGTGCAGAGTTGTTAAAGGACGGAGACCTGTGAGAAAGTGTGGTTGGTTCATTTGTTTGTCCCCGCCCCCCACCCAGGTATTGGCCTTCACAGTTAATTATTTGTGATGTAGTTCACAAATGCAGTTTCTTGAATTTTTGATCTATCTTTTTCTGAGTAGATTAGATGTTTGAATTTTATTATTTAAATTATTTGAATGGGTGCTTGCTGCTGCTTCTGCTTCTTTTTCTTTTTAAATTGTCAGAAGGCAAATGTCCTGGGGGGGGGTGGGTAAGAGGAAAAGAAAGTACCCCTCAGTTGGGTATGGTCATATTATAATCCCTTGTCCTTCAGTTTCTCCATGCTGTTAGGATTTTGAGTATACATATACTTGTGCCTGGTGTGCTTTTTAAGCCTTTGGGGCCAGACTTTAAACAGTGGTTGAACATGTGAGATCTGACTCCCTTAACTGCAAGTTTGTGGGGCTGTCTCTAGGGTGCATACTTTGACGTTGCAGTTTTGTAAGGAAATTTAGAGTGATTATTACTTTTTTTTTTTTTGGAGAGTTTTTTGCTACAGGGTGCGTGTGCTCTCCAGAAAGACAGAGACAAAGAGAGAGAAAGCAAGAAGTCACCCCCCAGTGGGGATGGCTACACCATAATCCCTTCTCCTCCATTCTCCTCTTGGGATCTTGGGCACACATGAACACGTGCCTGGCGAGTTTAAGCCTCCAGGTCGGGACTTGGACCACGGTCGACTACATAGGAGTCCAGCAACATAGCCATTATGCCAACTGCTGGCCCCAGTTATTACTGTTTTTAAAGAGGTTTTTGCCTTGGACGTGTGCACTCACTTGGGGGGGGGAGAGAGACAGAGACAGAGACAGTGAAAGGAAAAGTGAGAAGTCACCCCTTGGGGGAATGGCTACATTGCAGTGTTTTCTCCTCCATTCTCCGCCTGGGATCTTGGGCATACACGAACACGTACCTGGCACGAGTTTTTAAGTCATCAGGTTTGGGAACTCAAACTGTGGTTGGCCATGTGGGAGTCCAGCGATGTAACTGCTATGTCATCTGCTGGTCCCCTGAAGTGATTATTAAGATTAAACATTGTGTGGAACAATAGCTAAGCCTTATATATGACTTAGCTGTATTTTATTTCCTCAGTACTATTTTTCTCTTTCATATCACCCTTGGATATAGGTCCAAGAATATGGATGGCATAGCTATATGAACCTGTGAGTCCTAAGAGTCGATTTCAGGAAATCTGAGCTTTTTATTTTAGGTTCGTCCTGGCAAAAAGAATAACCCAGCAGGTCAACTCTTTGAAATCCAGATATAGCCCTTTCAACCCTAATAATCATTTAGCAACTTAGCAACTGTTAGTTCCATTTTCTTCCTATCCTGAGATCTAGGGATGAAAACATGCTGAGCCAAGCCATATTTTGCTGTCTGTGTTGTCTCATTTCATCTCATTAATCCCCTGCCTCCACAATTGGGGGACCGCATATGATGTTATTTATTTTTTTTAAAACAGGATATGCATAAGAGTTATTTATTGTTACTGGTTTTCAAAATTGAGATCTAATTCATGTAACATAAAATTCAGAACTTTTTTTTAAAGGAGAGATTTTGCTATAGGGTATGTGTGCTTTCTGGAGAGACAGAGACAGAAAGTGATAAGGGGGTGGGGGATGACCACACCAGAAACCCTTCTCCATTCTCTTCTTGTGATTTTGGGCATGCACGCACATGCGCTTGGCATGAGTTTCAAGCCACCAGGTCCAGGACTGGAAATGGATTTGGCCATCTGAGAGTCCAGTGATGTAATCATTACGCCACCTGGTCCCCAAATTCAACACTTTGAAAGTGAATAATTAAGTGGCATTTAGTGCATTCAGTGTCTAGTTCCAAAACATTCTTATCAGCTGAAGATGAAGCCGACTTTAAGTTGTTCCCCAGGAGCTCCTGTAGTCACCAGTCTGCATTGTGTTTCTGGATTTAGCTATTCTGGATATTTTATGTAACTGGAATCATACATTATATCTTGTGTCGGGCATGGTGGTCTAACTTACATGTGTTTAGAACACTCTTAAAATAATTTTTGGAGATAGTAATCTAATACTGTGCATACTTTTACTACAAGTTGGTGTTATAGTATATATACACTTAGGAATGGACTAAACTTTACCACAGTTCTTCATAATCTCTTTTGGTGTCACGGAATTATTTTTGAGTAAAAATTTATTGTTTCTTCAAGTCAATAGGTCCAAGGTAAGAACTCCTGCTTCGAGATATTTTTTCTCATTGAAGTATACAAGTCAGAGGAATCAGCATATTGTCTTTATGGCTATGATTTCTTTTGATGTATCCTTCTTTTGAATAGTCATCTTTATATCTCTTTGCATTTTAGTATCTTTGTGTTCATTTTTAAGGTGGAATAAAAACTCTTACTGGCAGGTCCAATTGGATTTGGTCTAGTTTCATTTATAAGACAGATTTTTTTTTTTTTTTTGAGAGGTTTTTGGTATAGGGTGTGTGAGCTCACCGGAAAGACAGAGAGAAACAGAAAGACAGAAAGTGAGAAATCACCCCCCAGGGAGATGGCCATGCCGCAATCCCTTCTCCTCCATTCTCCTTTTGGGATCTTGGGCACGCACGCACATGTGCCCAGCATGAGTTTAAGTCATCAGATCTGGGACTCAAACCATGGTCAGCTACCTGGGAGTCCAGCGACATAGCCATTATGTTAACTGCTGGTCCCATAAGAGATTCTTTGTCATTAAGTTGTTCTATCCCAATGTTTAGATTCTTTTTTTTTTTTTTAAGAATTATTTGATTTAACTTTAAAAAATTATTATCATTATTATTTTCTAGTTTGATTAGCGAGGTGAGGAGAGGAGTGAGAAAACAAGAAACCAGGTCTGGGACTCTAATCATAGTCAGCCATGTGGGAGTCCAGCACCTTTAGCCACCACACCACCTGTCCCTCCAATGTTTAGATTCTTATGGCCATGGGTTGATTGTATCTGGTTTTTGGTAATGAGAATGTGGTCTTTCCTATAATCAAATATTTTTGACTTTTAACTGTACAATATGGTTCTAAACTGTCATACAGGAGGTTATGGACTTGTCTCTATTGGTAGTCATATCCTAATTTGTAAACAACATTGAAATACATTAAATTTTTTCCCTCTTGTTTACATTGCTTTGAGTTAATAAAAATAATAAAAATTAAACATTAAGACTAGCAGAAGTCCATATGCACTGAAAAGAAATCTTCCTCTTTTTTGCCTGCCTAATGTTTCCCTAGATTTCATCAGATCAGGTATATTTTGGCTTATTGATGTCATGTGTTTAAAAAAGAAAACTCACGTCTAAAGTATATACACTAAGCATTTTTTTTTTTTTTTTTTAAAGAGAGGCTTTTGCGGGACCTGCAGTTGGAGTAATGGCTATGTTGCTGGACTCTCATGTAGTTGACCGTGGTTTGAGTCCCGGACCCAGTGACTTAAACTCCCACTGGGTCCGGGAGCATGTGTGCCCAAGATCCTGAGAGGTGAATGGAGGAGAAGGGATTGTGGCGTGGCCATCCCCCCTGGAGGGTGATTCCTCACTTTCTGTCTCTCTCTGTCTTTCTGGCAGTGCATGTGTCCTATAGCAACCCTCCCCCCCCAAAAAAAAAGTTTTTGCTATAGAGCATGTGCACTCACCAGAGAGACAGAGACAGAGTGAGAAATCACCCCCCAGCGGGGATGGCCACACTGCAGTCCCTTCTCTTCCAGTCTCCTCTTGGGATTTTGGACACACACCCAATGTATACACTAAACTTAGATACTGAGTATAGAATGTGAGACTTTCCTACTTAAAATTAGGGGGAAAAAACTCAACTTCAGACCAGCTTTGTAGCTGGTAAAAATAGGAGTGAGGAAGAATCATTGTGGAGAAGGCATTAGTAAACTAAAGCACCAGCACTGCTGAGCAGGCATCTTTACATGACTGTTGAGTGTATGTTTCACATAAGTCATAGTCTTATGTGGTGAGAGGATGGTTGGGATGGCAGTACCAAAACTTGACATTCATAAAAGTGAACCTGGGGGTAGGAGTTGGGATGGTAAAGGTAGAGGTGTGAATTTAAAAGTGCTATTGTCTCTGGAATGTCTGTAGTTGGTTCCAAGTATTTCAGGGAGGTCATGCCAGCAGCATTCACCATAGACTGCCTTTTCCCCACTATAGGGGTGGAGGGAAAAGTTTGCTGAAATGAATTGACAGTAGATTAGTAGGAGAAAAAAGGCATACAAATTTAGTAAGGTGCATAAGTGTGGGAATGATGCAAATACAAAGCTCAGAGAAGGGGAGAAGCTTAAATATTTTAAGTTACAGAAGGAATAGGACTTTTCAG